GCTGCGTGTCTGCTGCGTTGCTGCTTCTGCCAACTCTATCTCTCTACGTAGACTTTGCAGGCTATTTGAAAGGATTTATTTTCATTTTAAATTAATTTCTGAATTATTTGACAGAAAACATCACTTAAGTGCCACTGTCTCCACCAGTGGCGGCTGCTGGTCTTATAAGGAGGGGAAGCTCATTTTCGGCCTACATCACAAAATGTGTCCGTTTATTTAGTATATGTAAATTCGCAGAGTGACAGAAGAGAGTCGCCAAACACAACGCTAGTCATTTTTAACAAAGACAAAGTCACTGAGGATCAGTAACGTCTCCAGATCAACTCTGAACAACGGAATGAAAAACTTGAAAGATGCTCCGGTGGATGCTTATACTTCAAGATCGCTGATTCGCTCATTTCGCTGTCAATCAAAAAGGGACTCAGCCTCAGACAGATCATCCAATCATCATGCAGAAGGCGAGCGTCTGGGCCAGCCCACTGCCCCATAGACCCCCAGAGACACTGAGCGTCCGATGGGCGGGACAAAGCCCAGCATTTATCCAATGAAGGTCTAGTTTCGCTGCAGTGGAACAACCCACTCTATGCTTCCCCGTTGAAATCAGTATACGCTTGGCGTCTACACTGTGTAAAGCACTGTGGCGCTGCGGGGATGAATGAGAAGGAAGTCGTGTCGGTTACCTGTGATAAGTAGCTGATTCTGAACAAAAGATGAACATGTTCTTGCGCATATTTAGTCAATGAAATGTACACACAACAGTACATATTTGACCACTTATTTTGTTGACATTTTAGGGGAAGCTGAGCTTCCCTTGCAGTCTTAGAGCAATCGCCACTGGTCTCCACATGCTGCTGCTAAAATAGTTTAAAAAATATATTCACATATACACGTCTGTTGTATATTCAGATTCAGCCTAGACACTGACAACTATAGTGGAAGGTATCAGTTTTATGTAATGTTGCTACTATGATCAACAGATCTTTTCTCAGTCTATTTCTACTGGGAGTTGCTTGCATCATGCATAGAAAAATAGTTGAGACGCCGAATCTCTAGATCATGTGATGCAGACATGTGATCAGGAATTGTGTTCACTCTAACCCGTTAACATGGGCGCCGAAATGAAAACCAAGATGTTTCACAGCCGCCACGCACACACCACGCATCCAGTGTGTTCCTGGCCTAAGGGCCCTCACTTCATATAGCAACCTTGACATCTCCCCATCTCTCAGTGGGAGATTAAACCGTGCTAACTGAATAGGCTGGTTGTGGTGCAAGTGTGACAGCACCTGAGGGAGAAACGTATTTGCGCACAAAGTGATCCTGAGCTTTCTGGATTCCACCATAGACATGAAATGTCTTGGTCTACACACCAGTCAGAAATGAGTTTCCACCTGTCGTCATACTGTAAGCAGGTGGACGGTGCTCTGGTATTAAGAATTGTCTTTCTGGCTGCCTCCACACACCTGCTCAGTAAAGGCTTGGACCCTCCAGGAGCCAACTTGCTGGCCAAAAGGGAGCCACCAGCAGAAGTCTGCGGCACTGTTTGAAGGACTCTCTGTAGCATAGGTAATACTGGAGGAACTGCTGAGAAGACGAGGAGAACCAGAGGGGGCAGTGGGTCAGTGCCTCTGAGGCAAAGACATCCACCTTTGCCCTGCCTGAGAGGCCCCAGATGGTGTGCGCTACCTCTGGATGGAGTCACGACCCCCCTGGTGGAGGCTTGTCCACAGCCTGGTTCCTCTCTCCCAGTACACACATTGCCCCCAAGCTGGTCAGCCTGTTTATGTCAGCAAGTCATTGCCCTCAGTGGCCCGTGTGAAGTTAATATTTTTTCTGTATTGTACCTTTTACCAGAGCAAACTGAAAGATGGTGAATTCTTCAAAGGGATTTCAAATTCACTGACTTTAATTCACTCTAGCACATATGAGAATGTCAGCACCACGAGACTTGGTCCTGCTGTGAATCAAACTCTGTGCCAACTCCCTCAACCCACACAGACTTGTTCCAACAAACTGCAAGAATTCTCCCACATTTCTTGTTAGTGTTACATTCAGAGATGAACCAAAAGTATTAGTATTTTTCTTTTTCTTTTTTTAAAAAGGTGGTGTTGTGAAAGCTACAGTCCAGTAGCCACTGTTCTTTACAGCCTGACATTTAGGGCAACACCACTTCTTGCCTGGAGATATTTGGTACCCAGATATGTGCTTTTGATGACAGAACTGAACTGTCAACCAGCATAAAGATGACATTTAGAATATGCTGATATAGTTGCAGTATATGTCTTCTGAATTGCATTGACTGTAGAAAGATTTGGATGGAGATGGACTTCACAGAGGTAATGTGCTGAGCAGATTTCCGTATTTTTAGAAATTAGTGTAAAATAATAACTCTGAAGCAGATGCTATCTTTTCCCTGCTAATTCATTGAAAATTTGCTTAATATTTGATCCTATTCTGAAGCAAGACTGCATGCATTTACAAAAATACATATAATAAAGTCGGCCTTCACATTTGTGTTATAAGATCAAAGTCGTATTGAATGAATAATGAATGATAATTATTCATGAATAACATTTAATTAAATTTTTGTGTGAGAAGAGCCACACTTCCTTTTACTCTCCCACCTCCTATCCTCTCTTCTCCTTTTTACTGTTTCTTTTCATTACATTTTCTCCGCTCTTCTTTTCTCGTCTCTTCAGTCTCTTCTTTAATTGTGACGTCTTCTCTCCTTTCTAAAAAAAAAAAGGTAAATGCAGACAATGGAGATTAATACTTGTGAATACAATGAACAGATGAAGTATTAAAGTGATCGTTTATATAATATAAAATTAAGATATTTATTTACCTCACTCTTCATATTGTCCCCTTTCTGGTGTCTTCTCCTCTCTACTGTAAGACTTCTCTAATTCAAATAGTAAGAGGCATAGTTCCATTACTTTTTCTTTCCCAGTTTGACCCCCATAACCATGTTGTTAGTGCTACTGTCTCAGCTTCTCTGACTACAACCACTTATCACTACCTCCTTTTTCTACATACTGTGGACCCCTGCACTGAGGTCCTTGTTACTGAGGACTCCTTTTGTTCTAGGGTGGGCATTGACAAACATATGAACCTCCTTAGCATGGTGTCACCATTCTTTTCTTTCTCTTTTACAGAGGAGCTTCACTGGGGGAAGTTGGAGGTTCACGCTAACCTACCCCCCCAGATTACACTTGCTCTGTGCAGACAACTGGTCTGAGTCACGGTGCAGCAACAAGAACACAAATCTCACATAATCTAATGCAATATTATATCATTCAGTTTCATTATTATCAATTAATTTAACTCAATTCAAATAATTTAAATTCAAATAAATTCAAATCAATTAAGAAAACTGAATTAAAATCAGGTTGAGGGACAAAAGCATTTACATGCAGACTTACCTTAAAGTTCGGCCCTTTTTCAGAGATTTCAGCAGCTCTCTTGTGACCCCATCTGTTGTAATGTAATCTCCTTTCCATCACAAACCTCACGTTCTTCGCCCAGTCTGACTCAAGGCAGCTCCCAAACAGCCCAGGCTCAGTGGGTGTCTGAGATGCTACAGGAAGGCACATGTCTGTATTAGATGACTGAGGTACTTCAGCAGGGCACGCTTCCACAGGATGTCTGGGTGTCTGAGGTTGGTTGGAGGAACTTGCTCTTGGCAGCTTTCACAAGATTACCCTTATAGGATGTTCTGATGCCACAAGGGTCAGTAAGAGGGGCAAGAGGAAGAAGTAGAGTGAGAGGTGGAGCTACAGGAAAGGCAAGGGAAAGATGAGGGTGGGGAGCCAAATGGGGATCCAGCCAGGTATCAAGGTGAGGAGCCAGTTGAAGAAGTGGACGGGGACCCAAGTGAGGATCCAGGTGAAGAGTGACTCTGGGAGAGCTCAAGCCCATAATTAACTGAAAATACCTTTACAGTGTGGCTGTCAAACAGCTACAGTGTAGCTGTGGAGTAAAAAGTACAAAATTTCTCTCTGAATAAAGTGGCATAAAATTTAAATATTTAAGAAAAGCACAAGTATGTCAAATGGGTACTGTGTGAAATACACCCTGAGATCCTAGGATCGAAGCCCGCTCCTTCCGAACTCATTGTGATCATGTCTTCCAGTAAATATTTAGGGAAGCAGCAAAGTTATTAATAACTTAATAATTAATTTGTAAATAGACGCTGTAGTGTAGCCTGACGAATACAGCGGAACCCAGTCATTTTAAATAACACACGGTCAAACATCATGTTTTTATATGAAACAACAGCTTCATCACTGTTTCCTTAGCCTCTTATTTCGATAGAAACCCCTCAGAAACCAGTGCTCTATGTTGGTCCTACACCGCCTCCACCTGGAGTAGAGGAGCAATGACCATCAATCTCACCAGTCAATGCAACACAAATAAAGTAAACTCAGGTTTTTCTGAATGCGTTTTAGGGAACTTGATTAAGTGGAAAGCAATTCCAAACCATAACCTGCAGATCTCATGTTTCATTTTTCAAATGAAGTAACTGTAACCACAATAGAGCAGGCTCTACAATCCATCTGCTTTTGCCAGGTCTGCTGATATTGAACTGCTTGTGTACTAAACTTTCTGAACACGCTTCTCTTTGCACATCACAACAACCACACCAGTTGAATATCTGCTGTGTACGATCATGTGACGTGCAACATTTTGAGACTAGTTCAACACCATGAAAAACAAAGAAAAAGAAACAAAAAAAACAATTGAGGTTTGTGTGTCCCAGACTGTAAAACGGCAATGAACAGTTAAGAAACAGAGGAAATTTTGTGAACTTTTTACACTTTCTCATACATATTAAAAAATATAATGTGGTATACACCGATCTGACTGGTAAGGAAGGAAAGTACGGACAACAGTTCAAAAGTAGCTCACAATAGTTCATGACCATAAACAAAAGAGAGGAGAGGAAAGCAGATTTTGATTTGAAGTTTAATTTTTAGTGACAAAATCAAAAATAACAGTATTCAAGGAAGTAAAGTCTTCAACAACCCTGGATCTTTGTCAGTGTGTTAAATACCTTGCAGAGCGCTTCATTGTGTGTGAATATAATCTCTGTAGCTACAAAATTATTGGATTATCATTCTAAAAGAATATAAATAATAGTGAATGTCAATGTATGGATGACTATCGCCCTCACCCCTAAACATTTAGTCATCACTGTATTGCAATGAGCTGGAAAATGTGGAACAGGAGGACTGAATTGGTGTTTGCTTTATCTATTAAATCTACTCGATTGCACATTCTTTTAGATTACCATACAGCTGCACAGTGAACTGCATCTATTGATGACCCTTTACTATTTAACCATAACATTACATGGAAGTGATCTGCTAATCTGTATATTTGCATTCTCACTTTGGTTTTCGTTTTCACACAAATCTATGCAAGTCACACATACATTTGAAAAAAAAGTTGTGTCCACCTCAGATTGCTTCATGTTTGTTTCTGTATCAATTAGTGTAAACCAGAGGGACACAGCATTTCATGTGAAAGAGCAAAAAATGCGGAATAGGTAAACAAAATGCATCCTTATAAATCAAAGCAAAGTGATGCTGTATGCTCACACACTCATTCTTCTCATCTAATCATTCACACTGATAAAGTGTCATAAATGATATACTGTACCTACATTCTACTCATTCAGATTGCTGGTGCTGCACACTCATAACTAAGAGAGCATAACAAATAAGGCAAAGCCAAAATTCTCCTCAATATGTTTTAGTACTGCGGCTCTGGTCACAGACATCCCCTTGTGTGGACTCATAGGGGCTTTCTTCCATTCTTCAGGCTTAAGAAAAGCACAACACTACTGTACTACAGTTTCTATTGCATACACTTCACTCCAGCACATTGCCACAGTTACACTGGAAAACCATGTAACAGTTTGTCAGTCCATCTGTGCATAATGTCTCTGTGGCCTTTCCCCGGCGTCCCAGAAGTCCGCGCTGGTGTGACCAGAATTTGGTTCGTCTTAAGAGGAGGTCTAGAACAGGATCTCAGCCATGGCAGTGAAACTGAGTAGAAGTCGTCCTCACATTCTCTTTTGTTCCTATAGTCAGTCAAGTCTCCGGCTCTGCTTATGGCAGTATTTGACGGACGTCCATACATTACTAAAAGAGTCGGGCCTGTTTCTTTAGCTCATTCCTCTTCCACAGAGCCAGCCGGTCAAAGTCCTCCACTGTCATACCAAACACTTGGACAAACTCCTCTGGAGACAGGTGACGCTGAGAACACGGGGACGACATTGTTATCACATTTAGTCTCACACGTCTGTAGGCACCACTGAGAACTCCAACGTCATATCCTTGATAAAATTTCTCCTACTTTAGAGGATTTTAAATGACGTTTTTAATGATGCTGTATTATTAATTAAATACATTAAATGAAAATAGAAAAGAATTTAGTATTGTCCACCAGCAGACCTCATACAGACATCAGATCATAGTGTAAAGAAATAAAATGTACAGAAATATAAAAGTTTAACAGTTGAGTGTAAGTATTTTTCTTTTTAATACTCTGAACATTTGAGAGAATTTGGTTGGTGGCCAGTCAGAAGTTTCTTATGTAGGTGTGGTCTGCTGGGAGACTTTCAGCCTTAGTATCTCTAAAACCTTGGAAAATTGCACTACTTTTTAATTGGACTAGGGCCAATGACCTCTCAGCACAGTTAGCCAAGTCAACCTATCGACTCTTTCACAACTTACCTCCAGTCTTGCTCTGTCTACATCCTTGGGCAGCCTGTTGCGCCCTCTGGTGGTGACAATGAGTGCTTCATAAGGGTAAACCTGCAGGGAAGGAGGAGAGCCAGCCATGCTTTGTCAGACTTCAGAGGCATGGTTACAATAACACTTGGGGATTATTCAACGTATAGGCTAACATGCTTGCATGGAATATATTAATTAAGTGATTATGTTAAAACCTTACCTTGTACTCAGCTGGGAGAAAAGAGAAACAGAATCAAGTCAGTACAATAGAAAGAAAAAGCATTGAATTAATTGCTTCAATCTAATAAGGGGTAGGTTTTTTAAATTCATATTAAATTACCTCTGCTTCCCCAGTTGACCTCGTTGCCACTGTCGTACTGGTACTGGTAGCAGTCTGCACTCTGAGGCTGCAGGGAAAAAAGGGATGAAGAGTTAAACACAAATAACCAGATATATTTCTTAGACTAAAATATTCTGTAATAAGTCCCAAAGCATGTATGAGTCCCAAAAGCAAGTAAACAGCTAATCATGATGTCATGCTATGTGTTGTTCACTGTGGTCTCACCCTCTGGATGCCATTGCGTCCATATCCTGGTAGTGAAGCGGACTTGCAAACAAAATCTATAATATAGAAAACAGTAGTAAAAATACTGCATCAGTCAAGCCAGCACATTGCATGCAGTTGGGCACATATAGAGATGAGATCAGTGTTAGGTAATTTCCAGAAGATGGCGCTCACGACTAAACAAAAAAGTTCCAGATGTGTACCCAGAACACTGGAGCTTTGTGATGTAAATTAATTGAATCTAGCACAAGCCCGTCACTTAATGAACTAATGCCAGCCTCCATTCAAAGAATACACATCACTAGAACATCTCTGAAACATAAATGATAAACTCACCGCTATCAGTGCTGTACTGAGATCGCGGAGCTGTGAAATCAAGAAGTCAAAGAGTTAGATGGCATATTCCTGACTGGGAAAAAAAAACAAAAAAAAACACAAATTCTGCAGTATTTTTAATCTGCCCTGCACTAAATTTTGATTCAATTTCTTGTATGTATTAAATGTATTCAGAAAATTGCTGATGAGGTTTGACAGCCATCTGTTTAGTCAGAAGCCTAACAAAGAAACAGAAAAGGAGCAAGTTGGGTACCCCGTCAAGCCCTGGGAGGAAAACAAAACATCAAAGGGGCAATAAGGCAGAAAGAGGCCAGGCGAGACTGGTTCAGGGAGGAAGGGAAGAAAAAAACAAAAACGGGAAAACATACAATCACACCAGCACAAAAACACACCGCACACTCCACCATCTAATCGCACAGCACAGCTTGTATGGTTACAAGCCTTTGTTGCCTTTCAACCATAGCCAACACAGCCCTGTTCAGTTGTGTCCCCTCCCATCTGAGAAACAGCTTTAATGAGAGATCTTACAGCTCATAAATAAAACAGGATATGGGACACCAGCTGTGAGAGCGCGAGAGTGAGATAGATACACAGATAGATGGACGGGTAGATAGAGAGTTAACAGAGTAGAATATGGAGAGCGATGTCAGCAGAGGGAGGAGGAGGAAAAAAGCTGGAATAAGCATGTGAGATGGGGAGAGGGACGGAGCAAGGAAGTGAAAAGAAGTATCTAAAGGGGGGACAATTGGATAGAGATGAAGACAGGCTGGTGTCTGAATGTCAGGGGCTCAAATAACTCTCCCAGTGCACTGCGCAACCAGTGAAGCTTGGCCCTTACAAACAGAAACAACTCTGGTGGGTTCAGGTCCAGTTTATCACATCTGGCACGACTGCACACCTGGTTGAACACTCTGTCTTCTGTAGCTTGAAATGTTCAGAATCAGTGTGATCAGATATCCCCAAAACAATGACAGGCCACATCTGGTGTTGCTGCTGCTGTTGCTACTGCTGGCCTACCAGAGGTCCGGCAGCAGCTGTTCTCCCCTCTCAACATCTTTCCACCTCAATAAACCACTGAGCCTGCAGCAGCCATGACCCTCCCTGACCTGCATCCACAACCTCACTGCCCTCGCCCCAAACCCCAATGACAGTGTATATTGAGGCTCATAAAAAGCCCCTGTGGAATCATATGTGATTACAAAGGGAGGGACATGGCTGCTCAGAAACACATTTGGAGGCGGTGCTCATGAACTTGCAGAAAGAGAAAGAACAAGAGACAAAAGAGGGCGATGCATAGGGGGCAGGGTGGAGCCTTACAGCCGTTGACAGTGTTGTTGTACGCCGTGGTGCCATAGCCTGTAGTGTTGAGTGTTTCCTTGCTCCCACTACGAGAATTCCTCGCACTGCCCCAGGGGTCGTTGTCATAGGAACCAGATCTGGCTTTCATCTCCTCCTTTAGGATCATCCTCCCGATGCCACTCCCAATCTGGGAGGAAAGAGAGCACGGAAAGATGCAGACGGGAGGGGGGGTGGAAAGATACATTAGGGAAAACTGCTAATTTAATGTACAGTGATTGCAAAGATGGTGCGAGAAGCAAATAAAGAAAAGGAGGCTAGTTTAAGCGCCATACCATAACAAGTGCATTATTTATGGGTGTTACTGAGGAGGGGACTTTGTTCAAACCGATGTTGAAGAAAGTGAGGAGAGAAAATAATGAAGCGCTTACTCTTTGAAGACTGTGACTCCAACTCTCTTCATCTCCTCCTGTCGAGAAGCGTCTTCTCGGCACCCGATAGGCTGAGAGAGAGGAGAGATGAAAGAGATTCCCTTGTATGAACGTAGAGCTCAGAGTGGAAGGCAGTAACAGAGTGGCTGAGTGAATAAATATGACAACAGAGGCTTACAAAATGAACTGTACTCCTATGTCTGCTTTTGGACCAGTGGAAAATGAAAAAATTGGGTTTACTATAAAGCCTGCCACTCTAAACTTTTTCCTACCCCTGGGAGAGCTGGTGTACGGGTAGTAGTCAGACTCTGACTGGGTGTATGGCTCGGGAGAGTAGGTAGACAGTCTGGAGGATCTGAGGATGTCCTCGCTGGTCCTGCTTTTGGTGGCTGCATCCACATGATTGTCTGTGAAGAAGCAGACGGAGTTAGGTACGATCAGAAAAACAGACAGAACCGAGGCAACTGGTAATTCTGTTTGAAGAAGAGTTTGGCATTTTGGGAAATATGCTTATTCAATTTCTTGCCGGGAGTTTGTTGGTTCAATATGAAGCTGGAGGAGGGAGATAGTTACCGTAGCTTAGCATACATACTGGAAATGGGGAAACAGCTATCCTGCTGCTGTAAAGGCTAAAAGTAATCAGCCAACCTGCACCTCTTAAGCTCAATAAATAACACAATATCTTGTTTGTTAAATTGTTAAAAAGTTGAGAGTCTCAGACTACTGCTTGGCTGGGAGCAGCGACTTCTCTGCTAGCTGACTGACAACCTGACAGTGACAAGACTACTTGAAATCACTGTGTACAGATGAAACAAATAAAATACATTGTGCTAACCAGTGAACTTTAAGAGGCGACGTGGGAAGATTTTAATAACTTTGGACAAAGACAAGTTAGTTGTTTTCCCATCCTCCAGTTTTCATGTAAGGCTAAGCTAACGGTCTCGTGGCTCAAGCTTCATATTGAACAGACAAATACGAGACTCATATCAATCTTCTCATCTAACTCTCAAAGAACATTATATCCCGTTTGTTTAATCTGTACAAAAAACAGAGTAAAAACAAAAAAGATACAGTTTCACTAGTGGTTATGTGCCAGACTATTTCTTGGCTAGGAGCAGTGACTCTCCAGTCATCCTGGTTTTTGTATGGGTTAAACAAACAAGATACAACATATCAATTAGTGAGCATTTGTTACCTTTTTACAAAGCCATGCTAGCTTTCTGCTAACCTAAACTCAACTGTCTCTGCTAACAACATGAGAGTGGAATTGATCTTCTCACGTAGCTCTCAACAAAAAAGTGAACCAGTGTATTTCCCAAAAAGGCGGTGCACTGTAGTGTGCTAAGGAAGAGAATGTGTTAATGAACATCACAAAGATCTACAGCGAGAGAGTACATTTATTTATTTAAATCCAGTCATCGTCCCACCATTGCTGTCAGAGAGGATCGATATTTCAGCCAACAGCATGAAAATAGCCAGCATTAAAGTGAGTTCAGTTACAGCGGCCTGAGGCACAGTCATTTCATGAGTGGTGTGAGGCGATGATATTGATGCCACTCTGCACTAAAGCACAGTCAATGGATGTCAATGGGGGTGACATGCAGTGTAATGTCAGATAGATCGCTCTTCACTCTGTTAGCCATTAGCCATGCCAGCCCCAATCCATGATCCATTGAATTCCTATATACATGATGCATGACACCAATGGCAGACATTCTCATCTTTGGGACACACACTGTCAACTCAGCAGCAGGGCGAGACACACACACACACACACACACACACGCACACGCACTTACACACACGCACGCATTCAGAGCAAAGTTTGACAGCAGACTGAAACTTCTGTCACTTGAAGTATGTTTATACGGTATTGATGTGGGAACACAAACACAGGAAGAAAGACACATATGGTACACACACCCAGGCAGACATGTGAAATATCTATCTACCGACAGTGACTGAAACAGCGAGGAGGAGGGAGATACTTACAGTGGCAAGGTCACCGGGTAAAGTGGAGCAGAAGGTGGAGGGAAGTGAATAAAAGTGATTGGATGCAATAAAAAAGAGGTGAAAAGAAAAGGGAAACATTATTGGAGCGTCCCAGAGGGAGATGTGACAATATGAGAACTTTGCTACCCGTACGGAGCACGAGGACAAACTGAAAAGTAAAACGCGGTTTGATACAGCCTCTTTTCTATACAGGTAGCAAACTTGTTAACTGATTAGTACATAACAGGCCTTTGATGACACACAGCGCAATGCACAATGAAGCACAGCGACTCCACATGTGTCTGTTGTGGCTTTGAATTTACACCAGTCATGTTTAGTGCTGAAACAAGAGGAAACAGGAAACATAAAGTACCAGAAGGGATCAATGTGATTGATGTAGAAATGTGCACTGAATATTTTTGAACTTGCTTTATAGAGCAGATACTGTAATGTTGAGTACTTTCTTCTTCACATATGCAAAAATGTGGAACATTATGGCCAGTGATGTACTAATTATAGCTGAGTAACACAGCAGGGCGAAAGTGTCTATTCACAGGTCGACACAGTTCACTAACTATCCCACAAATACCAACACATACGATACAGACAAACATGCAGGACAACAACAAAGATAAAGTCTCCTCCATTAAGAGATCTTAGGTCTTGTGACTCAGCTGAAAAGCCTTTTCCATTGTAATGCGATAAGGAGATAGTGAATCTTTTCCTTATGAATGTTTATGCTCAAGCACACTATCCAGACGGCTGAACTGCATATAAGTTTAATGACTTGTGAAAAAAACAAGAGGCAAAAATAGCAGCTTGCGTTAACTGCGCTGCCACGCCATCTGACTGAACGACAACATAAATCCACACAATTAAGAAATCAGGCTTCCCCTCTTGCACACTCTGTCTGTTTTCTACAAAAGTGAGCACAACATCTGTCTCCAGATGCTGCCAATTTCCTTAAAAAAAAAAACAAAACAAAACAGAATGACAGTATCTGTGAAATCACACGCTGACCGCTGGCTAACAAGTGCTGGGCTGAGAAAATAAAAAGACGTCTACACAGCAAATAAAAAATTCCAGTTAAAATGCAGTTTTCCACCGTGCTTTGTTCCACTGTTCTGCTCTATTCCCCTAAATTGTGTGTCCTCGGAGTCCCATGTACTCAACACTTGCCACGCCTGAGCAACCTTCCCTTCATTCGTGGCCTATTCCAGCCCTGTCTGCTGACAAGAACCTGTCGTGCTGCGGGGCACTGCACACAGAAACAGGCATGTGCATGTGCGTGTGAAATGCACACTAAACATAGCTCCTTTACACAGCTAGTGCAATAAGTCTGATTGATCCTTATCCTCAATTTTGAAACAAGTCCTACAAGTCGAACTCTATTTCCTTTGTGCATTTCCCAAGCAAAGCATCCATCCTTCATTCATCAGGTTTTGTCCGTGATGGCTTTGATTTCAATGATAACTGGGACGTCAATACGAATCAATGCTAAATCACAAGGGGCTGCTGGAGAACGTCGATAGGTGAGTAACAACATCTACATCGAGTACTCAAACACAGCATGACTAAACTGACAGGAGGACAGGCAGGCTAAGGCGGGGCTAACTGCACTGTACCAGTTCTCTTATAGATGGGAGGCTTCCTGTAGATGTTGGGGTCCCCTGTGGCTGAGGAGAGAAAGAGGAGATGGAGAGGTGAAACATGGAGGAGTGAAAGGAGGAGAAGATGTGAGTTTGTGCTGGGGTGATGGGTTGGAGGAGGAGGTGGAGGTGGAGGTAGGAGGGATGGTCATACAGGAAGGTAAAAGAAGGTAAAGATGAAATATGAAGGGGAAAAATATTCCAGAACAATTATGTGCGGTATAAAAATATGACTTAGTCACATTTGCACACCCTCTCATTCCCACTGTAAAACTGTTAAGTGGCCTCTCTGAATGATTTGCATTAGTGGGTAATGGCAGATGAAATCTTCCCACCCAGTAAAAAAAAAGAAATGAAAAAATTCTATGAAATTGTGAGTAGGGCGATGAGGAGATGAGGAATCCTACCTGGTACATGAAAATGTTTAGGGGGCTGGTTTGTGGTGGGTGTGCTTGACCGCCCCTCTTGGCCGTAATAAGGTGAACTCCTGCCACTCTCAGAGCCTGCAGCCAGCCACAGCCAATCACAGCAAAGGAAACATGAGCATGAAAGGAAGGCCTCAACACATGCGGATGAAAACTAAACAGCCTAAACATCCATTCAAATTACAAAGTGACATCAGATAACGTTTCCACTTGTGTAATGACAATGGTTATCGACTTGCCTGTGGTTATTATTACAGTGTCAATGCACATGTGTTAAGCGTTAAATGAAATGACAGCCAGGGAGCAACTGCAGCATATGAGATAGCCAAAGAAAGTATTTTGAAGTGAAGTGAAAGACATTCTGCGTTAATGCGGGGAATCTTTTGTCAACACTGACATTATATGAAGCCACATTTGTTGTATACATATAAATAATAGTGGTGATGACAAACAGATGGAAATGACAAGCAGTTTGAGCTCCATTAAAGGAACAGTTTGTTATTTTGGGAAATTTTTGCTTTCCTGCCGAGAGTTTAAATTAGATGACTGATACCACGCTCATGTCTGCAAGTTACATTTGAAGCTACAACCAGCAGCTAGTTAGCTTAGCTTAGTAAAAAGACTGGAAACAGGAGAAACACCTAGCCTGATTCTGTCCATAAATAACAAAGTCTGTCGACCAGCATCTATAAAGCTTACTAATTAAGATGTTTATCCCGCTTTTTTTTTCTTTTTTCATTTATACAAAAACCAAAGACAAGTCAGCGCCTTATGGGCTTCCAGTCCAGTTTCCAGGCTTTATGCTAAGCCAAACCAGACAGCTGCTGGCATTAGCTTCACTCTGAAAGGACAAATACGAGTGGTATCAATCTTCTCATCTAAATCTCATCAAGAAAGTAAATAAGTGTGTTTCCCAGTTCAGTTCAGAAACTTCATAAGTACTTGGTTAAAAGTACAATTCACATTAAGTACAACATGATCGACTTCATTTAGTATTTTTTTTTCAACAGGCTGACACTAAGTTCAGAGGTTACAGGCAGACAACTAGGAATAAATGCTACATGACTCACCAGGGTAGCCGTAGTGCTGCGGAGAGCGAGGCATGATGGGTGACATGCCTTGACGACTATATGTCGGCGAGTCTATATAACCTGGACTGGAGCACCGCCTCTGCCTCATATCCAGGCTGTCGTAGTCCTAGAAGGACAAAGGCGATGTGTGAGAAGTGAAAGAAGAGCAGCATGGAGACAAATAGCTCAGTGACAGGACAAAGTGACAACAGCTCACATGTTTAAACTCGTCCTAAGTGCTTTGCCACTTACACTGGGAGGAAGAATGCTTACCTGAGAATAGGGAGAGAGCGTCCCAAGTGACTGGAGAATCAGTAGAGAGAAAATAATTATTATTTGTATTGTAGCTCAGGAGGGGAAGAAAAACTATATAGCATATATCATTTTTATCGACAGGAACACAAGGAAAGACCAGCCTTTTCAAATTCAATCTATGCTTTTTGCTGCATGGAATGACGTGATGTTAAATGACTAGTTTGACAATTTGGGAAATAAGCTTATTTGTTTTATTGCCTATAATTGGATGAGAAGGTGGATACCACTCAGGTCTGTCTGAAGCTCAATAATTAACATTTTATATCCATTTTGTTTAATCCCTATATAAACCAACATGTAAAAACATCAAGCTGGATGTTAGGTGGTGAACTATTTCTTGATTTGGACAGGACAGAGCCAGCTGTTTACCCCTGATTTAAGTCTGTAAGATACAAGAGTGGTATTGATCTTATTAGATGAAGAAGTGTATTTACCAAAATATCAAACTATTCCATTTGTAATAAACCATTTACCAGAAACTAAACTGAATCGTCTGTGTACGGGCAGCAAAGTCCACCATTTTTCATTTTGAATTCATGTCCCCATGTAAAACATTATGTTTACTACAGCAGAATGTTCTCCATGTTTTACAGTAAACAAGATCCTCTTGCTAAGTTGACAGGTGAGTAAATGCTTTCAGTAACTGACAGCAAAGAGAAAAAGGGGGAAAGCTCCTGATCAAGACCAGACTCCCTAGTGTTAACTAAGAAAATAAAAAATAAGAAATTACTACCTCAGCAAATGGTATTTTTAAATGCCATACTCCATCCAAATAATAATAATAATAATAATAACAATGATAATAAAAAATCCATATTTTTCATGAAAACAATGAGCCCAACAAATACTACATGACTGAGGTGTTATTAAGACAGACACTTCTTTTTCATGTATATACTAAACAAAGTGTTTCTTCTGAAAACAGACGAGTGATGAGACCAATGCTAGTTTGTCCTGGAGTGTGTAGCAGTAGTACCTCCCCATAGCTGTAAGTTTCTAGCCTGTCATCAGAGGTGTATCTGTGGTAGGGCTGGTATGAGGAGGATATGAGGTCTGGCTGCTGGACCTCATATATGGCCTTGACCTTTGGCAGGGCAGCTAGGTCCTTATAAGCTAGGATCTCATTCTCCACTCTGGCCTGGAGAGAGGACACACACATACACCCACCAAAGACAGAGACAACAGCGACAAGACCCAACGTCAACCACATGGACGATGAACAGTAACAAAGCAGAATGGAAACTCCACCAGTGACTGTGAGCAGGTCATGCAGCGGTGAGCGGCTTGAGAAAGAGCTGATGATGCACACACACGGCTGCACATGCACATACAGTACGTGTGTGTGTGTGTGTGTGTGTGTGTGTGTGTGTGTGTGCGCGCTCATCAAAAGTACACATGTACGCGGCAGAACCTGACAGCAGTGTAAAGTTGTTGACCTTCAGGAGCTCAGCATGTGTGTAGAGCAGAGGAAGCAAAGACAGCTAGAGAGAGAGAAGGAGAGGGAGAGGAGACGGTGTGGACAACAAGCGCGCTTACACTGCATTTCTCCCTCATCCATCACCTTAAACAGAAAGGTCATTGATTATGAGACGAGAGCGGGGTGGGGCTGAGCAGAGAGCAGTGACTCCTGCTTGCATGCAGACGCCCCTTGACATGCTAATACTGCCGACATGCAGCAGCAGCACTCAGCAGACTGCCAAGCAGCGCGGTTGGACCCGGTTCCACATCAGGCTGAAGCTTTGTTTTGAAATGGAACTGGTCCAACTCTGGAGTGCACAGAGTGAAAGCCTACACATAAACCTGGCACATTCACCAACTAGCTTCCCATCTTTCACTCACGCACACACGCACACACGCACACACGCACACACGCACACGCGCGCGCGCACACACACACACACGCACAGACACACACACGCACACGCACGCACACGCACACGCACACACATCACCAATTTGTTGATTTGCATGTCAAAACATGAGCAGATTAAAACTGGGATAAATTGTGTTGAAAGTTTAGGTTTCATGTAATCATTTCTTTTATTTTTTAAAATTCAAGTCACCTTGATAAAAAACTGAAAAATAAAAGCCTTTAATATTGTGGCTTCATGATTAAAAACAATGCCAATGTGTATACAACACATAGACATTTCCTAAGAACTTCAAACCTAAGAAAAACTAATTAAAGTAAAAAGCTTGGGGCTTTGAGGAAGATCAGACAGACTACAGAAAAAGTGCCTTGGTCTTGGAAAGTAAAAAATTTTTTTGCACTTATTGAAGCAACTTAGTGTGACTCTTTCTGATTTAATTCCCTTTCTTATGGACATTATTTAGCCTACGAGTGCATTACGAGTACCTTCTTTTCCAACGGGATGCGTGACACCTTTCACCTGCTGGTGGCACTAATTGCAAAGTCAAGGGATCACCAAAACATTAGGAGTCATCCTCTGGAGACAATGACTGTCTGTACAACATTTTAAGGCAATCCACCCAGTGGTTATTGAGAATTTTCAGACTGGACAACAGGGGTGGACCGACTGATATTTCCATCCCTTGAGCCATGCTCTTAGCTTTCATCCAGATTTAGCCCAGATTTAATCTACACATCTAGATGTTTTCTGATTTGCAAATCACCATATGAGTGCTCTCTGGGCACTGATGACTGAAGATGGTCATAATAGACATTGTATAACACAGAAATATTGTGTTGATCTTCAGTTTCGTGATGAGAAAAAATGAGAAATAGAAGGAGATCAATATGTGTGTTGGTGTAATTTCTTGTTGAAACAGTCGACAACAAGATTATTTATATTTTCTCACATATTTTGAACTCCTGCCACATGACTAATGACAACAGAGCAGGTAGGACACAGACAAGTGAACAGGCCAAGGGAGTGAGCAGCCTCTCGGGTTGGTGCTTAACCATTCAAGCCTATGGGAAGTGCTTGTGTTTCTGGTGTAACGATTGTGCTTTTAGGGGAAGCTCGGTGGCAGTGGCAGCTAAAAGGGACTGAGAGCTGCAGACACATCATTTACTTACACATATAACCCTGCTGGGAGAGCCTACTGAGGAGCCTGGTGGAGAGATGGAGGTCTCTGACAGGCGTCTGTGCTGTGAGGTAGAAACAGACAGAAGAACAGTAGAGAGGGGAGGGAGAACACGGTGAGGAAATTACAGTTTCCATTTTATTTTAGCATTTACACTTTGAGCTCTGTCTCACCCTGAGCCTCCTCTCCGCCCTCGCTGCCTGCTTGCATAATGGGTGCCACACCTCACATCCTGAAGAAGAGCGAGAGACAAGACAGATTCTTGCTGGGTGTTCCCACATGCCATGCATTCGTCTATTTACACTATGGTATGTGTGTGAGTGTGTGTGTGTGTGTGAATGTATTGACGTCAGGTTTCACCTGTCAGGTACATTTCCTCTCCCTCTTTGAACATCATGTTACAGCGGGCACATCGGGCACAGGTCGGATGGTAGTGTTTCCCTCCCGCCTGAGAGGAGAGGGGAGGGGAGGGGAGGAGAGGAGAGGAAAGAAGAGGAGAGGAGAGGAAAGGAGAGGAGAGGAGAGACTCAATGACATTATCATTATGAACAGAGTGAAATGTTAATCTACAAATTGTGCCCCCACCTTGTGCAGGTCATCATATCCATATGTTTTCTACTGTATGTCACCCAACCACCAATGGCCTCATGATGTATTGAGACATCATTGCATAGCCTATAGCCTGTTTCATCAGCATGCAGCAATCACATGATAGCAGACACCCCCTATTCTCCCCGTTGCCATAATTAGAGCAAAGATCCCTATAGGTCAGTCACATGAAGAAAAATTGTTGGCGTGTGCATGTGGCTGTGTGTGTGTGTGTGTGTGTGTGTGTGTTTGCTACAGAGAGAAAGAGGGAAGTGGGTGTCCATGTAAGTGAAGGACACAAGAGTGCAATACATGTCCTTGGACACTCAGAGCATCCCGAGGGAACACAACCCAACACACACGGCGCAGGTGAAATGTACACATGAAATGATGCAGTGTGATGTCACTGAACTGGGCCTGTCCATCAACCCGGTCCAGTTCCTGGCTGTGATGTTTCTCACATGCGTCTCCACAGGGGGCTGATGACTGAGGCGTGGCCCCATCACCTCTGCCTTCCCTGACACACCATTAGTGAATTTCTATTTATAGAAGCACGTGTGGCCCGTGTCAAGGAGACTTGAACTGTTTCATCTGAACACGCCCAGCATGTGTGTTGGAGTGTGTGTGTGGTTGGTATTATGTCATATTACACTGCCCTGACTTTTCCCGCTTTTCATAAAACTGATACCTTTATGTGATCTGCAGGAAATCAGGCCTCTTTGTCGATTGTACTCTCTCCAGGAACTACTACCAGTGTACGCTTCTTAATTGTATCTGAGCTGCATTTTAACCAGTCCCTGCGCACTCTGTCTGTCTCAGCTTACTCTGAAAGGAAAGCCAGGAGAGGATGCAGCGTTTCCGTTGCCTGTTCTCTGAGCAGCAGCGCGTTTACCGACTGTGGTCATAAGGTATCAGCTCAGCAACTGCTGTTACCATTTTGTAATGAGGCCCTCATTCTCTCCGGTGGCGTCAATAGGCTGCTATATATATTGGCAAACTAAGACACTGAGGAAGTATGGAGAAGAGGAGAAGTGAAACTGATGAAAGGAAAGTTTTATGCTCCTCTGTCTTCTGTTTCCTCTCGTTTTGTTTCCATTTTCTCTAAAACTACTAATTAAACTAACAACCTTTGGCTCTGGAAAGTTGGATTGAAGTGGGAGGGTGGAACAGGCCTATTGACAACACAAAGACAGACAGATTAGTCTTGGTTTTCAATGTAGGAGAGAAGAGACATTCATTGGTGGTATGTAACTAAACACTTTCACTCAACTACTGTACTTAAGTACAAAATTGGGAATTTAAGTAGTTACTGTACATATAAAGATTTTTGAAAACAAAGCATATGATGCTATGTTATGAATCAAACTCCTAACTGTATGTCTGAGGAGTTACGTCCTCTGGATCAGACTTCCTGTCTGTCAAATCAGTTGCGTGCAGCATCTTAAAGAAGTGCATCATTATTTGACAGGAGAAAAGAGACACACACACGTTCAGGGAGCAAGCGAGAGAGAGAGAGAGAGAGAGAGAGAGAGAGAGAGAGAGAGAGAGAGAGAGAGAGACTCGCAGATAAAGGCTGATATGTCCCCATGTCTATAAATAGTCCAGAGAGGCTGACAGTCAGGAACAAAGCACTTTACACCAACCATTCTGACAAGCAAAGGAGCACAGGGACAACAAGACCCTGTGTGTGTGTGTGTGTGTGTGTGTGTGTGTGTGTGTGTGTGTGTGTATGTCTGGCAAAGTTTTACTATGTCCGCTCCCTTTCCCCACATCCCAGATGACAAGAGACACCCTCCAGAGACTCTTCCAAAACATTTAATTAGCATCTGCACTTTATCACTCTCCTCATTATCCCTTCACTTCCTCCTACGTCCATCTCTCAGCCTCGTCTCTGCTGCTCTCCTTCTTCCATCTCTTTTTAAAAATACTTCAGCGTAAGAGCACGCAAAGCACAAATGTGCATTTTTATCACTGCAGAGTTTGTTTTCTCTGTCTCCCCTCCTTCCATCTTTTCCCCTTCACTCTTTACTCTCTGATCTTTTTATAACTCCCTTTTCCTCTCAACTCCTCACATGTCGTTATGATTCGATCCTTCTTTTTGCTTCCTCTTATTGGAGATAGGCCTGAGTTCTGCTCAACTGTGGTGTTTGAAGAATTAGTAAAGTGGTAGATATGGATGTGAGTTTGACCATACTAACACACTGCAGCTGAAGTTGTTTTGGCTTAGTAAAGCAGGACAAAATTTTTACTGCCACCCCCTCTCAACAATTTTAAGTCGCTCACTCCCTAAAGCACAGCGGGGCTTAAACTGAGCTGAGGATAAAATGCAACTGCTCATTTCTGATAACGCTGATTACACTCAGTTGCCAGAGTCAACTCGCAATTTGGATTTCAGTACTGCCGCGGTATTTCTGTGCAACCAAATCTCTGTTAGCATCATCTCATGTTGAAATCTGGTCCCGTCCTCACCTCCAGAACCCTTCCACTGATGTATCTGCTGCAGGTCTCACATTTCACCCCGTACTGGGCGTGGTAATCTGCCTCACAGTATGGCACTCCATCCCTGTAATATAGAACATATAAATAAAGCTGCAGTGGAACGCACAGTTTACCCTGAAAGTTCCTTTCATCAAAAACAAACACTGCAGGACATCTTTTCAATTTGTATGTCTTTTCTGAGTGAGACATGCTTTGAAACGTTGTGTTTCTCTTTATGTTTTTTTCCCCTTTACACACTCACTTGCTGATGTATTCTCCAGTGAGGACCATGTTGCAGGTCCGACATCTGAAGCAGCTGACGTGCCACTGTTTCTCCAACGCCAGGAGGGACTGTCCCTGTTTGATCTCGGCTCCACATCCGGCACAGTCTGGAGACAGAAAAAGAGCATGCGAGAAAAAGGAGCAAGGCCAAGAGATGAAGGGGTAAAGAGACGGAAAGGGGAAGGATGCAGAGACAGAAAGAGAGAAAAAGGGGAAATATAGGAGAGGTAGAAGCACAGGCAAAGAGAAATGGAGTGAGCTAAGGTGTGTTTGAACATCTTTAAACACCTACTGTGTTTCAAGTGTAGTTTTCTACCCCTTTGGCACAACCACCTCCTTAATCAATAGCCGGTCTAACGCAGGATATTGTAGAGCTGGGAGTCCTCTCAACTGTAAGCACTGTTAAACATGACTGAGAGCAGGCAGGAAGCAAATATCACTGTAATAGCCCCAGGGCTAAAACTGTTAAAATCACCCTCATATGACACAAGTATGAATCTCTCTTTTTTTCTCACTCACACACTGTACATTCCATTTCCCTCAGACGGACGCCCCAGCAAATGTTACTGACCACCGAAAGAAGCGCAGAGGCTGCAAATGATGCATGGCTGCAGAGTCTCAAGCTGCTGCACAAAGGTCAGCGCTCCATTTGTTTCCATTTGGAAGATGTTCGGCCCTGTCAGCCAATACAAACCGTTTCACAGTAAAAAAAAAAACAAAAACTGCAGTGTATTGAGTTGGGTTGCAGTCTAAATAAATCTTAACTGTCATTCGGTGGTGAGAGTGCTGAGTCGATGGAGCCGGGATCTCAGCTCCAGACTGTTACTGTGCACAGCTGATTTTCTACTGAGTCATGATAAAGATCCCGTTTTAGCAATCGAATGTAATGGGAATTAGATCATCAACCATTACGTAACACAGCTTGTGGCTAGACATTTTATGTATTGGACATAAAAATTCATCATGCCTTCATGATGAGAGGAGAGAAAACTCCCTCTGCATTGTTGCTGCATTTCTGGTTGCACTCTTATCTGTGAAGATACAGCATGTGTTTTTTTTGTCAGAAGCAAAGTATTACATCACTAAATGGAGGTGGGGCCAGATGTGGAACCTGTTTTAACCTGTAGCACTAACTTCTTGCTCTTTCTGATTTATTCTTTAATGAACAGTTTGACTTATGGGAAAAGATGCTAATACGTTTCGTTGACGAGAGTTAGATGGGAAGCTCAACACCACTGTTGCATCTGTCCTTTAAATATGAAGCTACAGCCTGCAGCCGGTTAGCTTAGCTTAGCATAAAGACCGGAAATAAGGTGAAACAGCTGACCCAATTCAGCGAGTCTGCTTCGGAGCTAACAAAAAATCTGTTTCATGAAATATTCACACACAACCTCTCGCAAAACCACACATTTTTATACATCAGGTTTTCAGTGGATAAAACATGTACAGCATGTTAATTATTGAACTTTAGAGGTGCTGTTTGGCAGATTTTATTATCTTTGGACAGAGCATTCAAACATGTTGTGGTTTATGTGGCACACACCGAGCCCTTAGGACACTCCCATGCCCCGATATAAAATTTATGATGTGGAATGAGAAGTACTCATCTGTAGTCAGCTGAGCTTGGTAAGACTAGACATCGTACGTTGCAGATTTACTACACTCAGCAAGTTATTTATTCATATTGAATAATTCCACATATATTTTTTAGTTCTCATTGAGATGGAGGTCCTCCGTAATAAGAAGACACGATCAATAATGATGATGATGAAACTTAAACTTAATTAAGGTTAGAAAGTTAAATTTCTCGTGTTCATCGGTGCATAAATAAGCAAACTTCAATTAATAATGTTTTCTACCATGTTATTTTAGTACCTGCTCCTAGCCTTCAAATCCGCTTAAATAATAATTTTGTCCTTGGCAAATGCATTTCCACCACTTTTCCACACCGAGAAAATTAAATTTGCATTCTTAAAAATTCAGCTTGTTTCAAAAAAAAGAGAAGAGGAACAGGCTGTAACAGCCAGTGCATTACATTTAGTGCCTGCACTCTGTGTCCCCTCTCGTAGACTGCCTGCTCATAAGATGGAGTGATGAACACGTACCTGGGGAGCCGTTTGGATTTTATTCTCCTGAATGGAGCGATCTGGGGCGGACATTTATTCACTGCCTCTCTACCATCTGTTATTACTGCACAGCCAGTGAGCAGCAGCCTGCTGTCTGTGTGTCACACTCAACAAATGATTCACTATCAATCACTGTTGCTCTGTTGTGAGATAATAATTTGTCATTTTCCTGCTTTATGCTGAAAAGGAGAGGGCTGCGCTGCGCATACCTATATAATAACATAATATATTTACTTAATTATGTAAAGGAAGATGAGACCAGATGTGCAGTGAATACATCGCATCCTCTATTCTCTGCATGTTAAGTGTTGACAGTAATGAATGAATGATGTGTCTGTTTGTGTTGCATAATTCTCAGCTGGCAGATCAGCTCGACAGGTCAGACGACCGATTTGACAGACTCTCGATTAGCTAAACGAGCTAAATGGGCCTCATGGACACATCGCATTAGCCTCAGTGCTCTGTAACGCCGGGTGGCCCTAAACAGAACGGACAGAGCGAGGCGGACGCTGGACTTACGGCTGGGCCCGTGGATCTTGATCGGTTCATTTGACTTGACGAGTGTGTGCGAGCACTGCTGGCACACGCAGTCCTTTCCACTGAACGTCACTCTGTCTCCGATGGGGAAGGGTTTACTGAGGAGGAAAAAGGAAATAGACAGAGAGAGAGAGAGAGAGAGAGAGAGAGAGAGAATTAGAAAACCGGGAAACAAGCACACAATAGGAGATAAAATGCCTGCAGTGATTCTGTGTGTTTACATTACATCCAAGTCTACACATGGAATAACAAATGGGTGCTGGCAGGAACATGACTATGTGACAGACAGGCTGAAATCAGCTTGTCAGCAGGATTATGGCCTGACATCCTCTATGAACCTGAAAATACATTTGCAAACAGTTGAGCCGACGGGTTAATGGGACGTTGATTGTTGCAGGAGCACCTGGCTGCTCTGTGATTAAAGAGCCGATAATGTGACGCTGCCACGGGCTTCTGAAGGGAAAACTGTCTCTCTCAGTGAGAATGAAAACTTATTACGGGGACTGTGTGGAGTGCATACTGATCCTAACTGCCTCTTTCTCTCTCAGTCTGCCTGCCCAGTTCGCTCTCATGCCTCGCTCGCTCCCTACACAGCTGGTACCATCAGGTCACCGTTTTCCTCAGCGCTTCAAAACCACGCTACTGTAAAGAAGAGTAAATATACAGGCGGACAAAAACAAAATTAAATTTACACTGTTTTGTCTCTCTCCCCTCTGCTTTTCAAGGAGACAGATTGATTTCCTTATGACTGGGGAGGATGTGAGAATGAATGGGGAGCTAAAAGGCTTAGGGAAGGCTGTTTAAAAGACATAGACAGCAGTAATCCTTTTACTCCCCCGCCGAGGCCTGGAGCCGGAGCCAAGACCCAGAGGGAGGCTAGAGTCTCCAGCAGGGCTCACAGTCAGCATAGAGGAGCGCAGCGCATCCTTGTACACACTTAGAGTATACAGAGGTGAGCATGGATATGGGCTTATGCAGTATATACAGTTCATGGCAGCTGTGGAGGCCCAAAAAGTGTGGTTTCTAAGGAGCTGGAGGTATTTTACAACTGTTTCTGTTAAATATGTGGGCGAACTGGCACATACAGTATTCTAGGTTTGCTCCTTTGTGCTTTTATATTATTCAAAGAAAGACAACATCCATACATAAAACAAAAAGGACAAACAAGTGAGCGGAACAGAAGAGCCAGCAGAGACATTTCAGCACACAAATTATTCAGCAAAGGCCCTGGTAAACACTGAAACACAAGTCAATGAAAACTGATAAAGCCTGTTATTCATTAAGGCTTATCTTTAAATTCACCATTCAGTTGGTCCCAAGGTTAACCATCTGTTCCTAAACTCAGACAGTGTTTGATGAGCTGTGCTGGGCAAAAGGCTAAACACAGAAAGCGAGCGCAGTCTGATTTTGAGACGTGACGCTGGTTTTCGAGGGTTTGTGTTTATGTTCCACTTCCAAGCATGGCGGGCTAAATCTTTTACATGTATAAGTGCCTGATCATAGCTACCGCAGTCTATAGTCCAGTCTAAGTGCACAAAATGCTGTGCTGGTGCAGAAAAGTGTGCTCGTCTGTGTTTGACCTTGTCTTTACCTGTGTGTTGCTCTCACTCCCTCAAGACACTCTTGCCTTGTCAGCCTTTCTCAGCGCTTTAAAAATTTACTGTTTACATATTTAATGCAGGTTTCTTTTTTTTTCTTTTTTTTCTTTTAAACTGGCCACAGAAGTAAAGCTATTTCTGGCTTTAGAAATGTGCCCTCTGGCTTTGATCTCCACCGCTTCTTGAAAAACAAAAAGAGAAGTGAAACTTGCAGTCTGCCTTCATTAGAGCCGAGGCCGCCATGACAAAGAGAAAGAGGGACGATCATGGAGACGTAAAGGAAGACGATGGCATGCGGATGATGATTAAGAGCAGGAAGATGATGGAGGGAATAATGAGGATGATGAAGAGGGAGAGGGGCAGTGCAGGGAGGGCAGGAGGGGAGGATGAGAAAAAAAGAGGCGGTACAAGAAAGGACTGTGAGCAATGTGACAGGGGGCAGACAGAACAGGAAAGAGGAGATTCACCCTTCGGCTTCTCGCTGTCTCTTCCACATAAGCTGACAACACACACACACAGACACATGCACGCACGCACACACACACACACACACACACACACACACACACACACACACAGTCACACACACACATGCACATGCAGACACACGCAGACATCCCCGTCAGTGCCAGGACTGCTCCCCTGACTGTCTCCGGCCAGTTGGTGTCAGTTCGTTTTTTTTGCCCACGGCTGCTGGCCAATGGCCGCCTGTTTATCAGCCAATGTCAAGCAGATACACAACAACATACAAAACCACTCTCCTGGAGGGAGGGAGGGAGGAAAGATCGCTTTTATGTAAACCTTGTAACCCGACCAGGCCGACAGGCAGGGAGAGCAACATGCATGTACATGCTAAAGAAACAGAGAAATTTGACTTTTTTTTTTTTTTTTTTTAAGCATGAAACATGAAAGAGAGAGAGAGAGCGAAAGGGAGAGTGAAATGATGAAATAGAAAGAGGAGCCAAACGGGATGCTGACTCACTGTTAGTTCGTTCAGGAGGTGCTTAGCATGAGCACTGATGGAGGTCAGAGGAGAGATGGCCTACTTCTACTGAATCTAACAGCGCGAAACACCAGGTCAGCTCTCTTCATGGAATCGTGTCTCGACTAAGCAAAAACGACAGGCTGCTCGAGCTTCCCAATCACACTGTTCTCTAACAGGCTGCTTCCACTAATGAATCCTCACGCCTGCGCTTCCTCGCAGTACAGAGCTGATACAGAACAGTACAGATAAAGAAGTGATGAATCATTGTGTACAGCGCATACATACTATATGCGGACTGCTACGCATGAAGAGCAGGGCGGGCAATATGGTTAAAACCCTCTATTACAGTATATGTAATTTTATATTGCATTATTAATACCTACTGTATATCATGATGAACTAATTTAATAATTAATTTCTGGAAAATCAGTTGAGAGGCTGTTTTGATCAAATAACCAAACTAAAATTTCTGTTTTGGCCTGTTACTATATATTAAAGCTGCTCTAATTCATATTTTAATATTAACAATGCATTAAATGACGATGTCTAATGTGAAATGGGTTGCATGTTGTGACATCCGACCGCAGTTCCTCTCAGCTCTATGAAGCACTCTGGTGTCTTTCAGCTCTTTGTTTTGCTTTTATGAACGCAACTCTAATGTTTTGTTTGAGTCTCATGGCACTCGTCAACTGTGTCTCCAGCTGCAGCTGCTCAGCTGGAGTTTGTGGAGAGCAAAAGCAGAGCTAAAAGGAGAGGGAATACTGGATTTAAATTCATCATTTGGCCAGAAATGCAACTCAAAATAAATGCTATGTTTGTCTTTGCTACATGTGTAAATAGGCAACTGTTTGCTCAAATGCTCAACATATCAAATTTATAAAGTGATATAAGTTTTGTTTCCAACTTTCTGTTCTGCCCCCAAGTGGCAGTAATACAAAGATACTGTACCCAAATACACTGATACAAAATAAAATAAAAATCTATTCTTACCACGAGGCAGTCCTACTAATTGATTTGTGGCAACAAATTTGTATTTGCCAGACATACAGGAAGCATATATCACAGAATAAAGGATGTAGCAACTGGATAAATTTCAATATCTCACAGCGTAGAGTATCATACTGTATGTCATATGCCAAAGAGGAGAAAAGTTAGTGACTAGCTGGTAAACATATTGGAACATTTAGTAGCTAAAAAAAACATCTGACTTTCATTTGCTTGATTGCAAAACAGAACTCTAAATTAATGCTCATGTTGCCCTTGTGTTGTCCAACCATATGTGCTACTGTAACCTTGCACATGGGAGATTGTGTGTCTGTTTATATGTGTGTGTGTGTGTGTGTGTGTGTGTGTGTGTGTGTGTGTGTGTGTGTGGATTTATACCTGCAAACACTGCAGACAAAGCACTTGGGGTGGTACGTGCGTCCCAGAGCGGAGACCACCTCTCCTGTAATGAAGCTGTCACAGCGGTCGCAGCGTGTACCATACAGACGCTGATAGTCTGCTGTGCAGATGTACTCGCCCTTCTTCTGGAAGAAGCCAGATCGTGCAAGATCACAGTTACACACTGTGGAGAGAACAGGGGGGAAGAACGTGAGAGAGTGGGATACTTCAAACAGTAAAGTACATGGAATAATCTGTGGAAAAAGAACTGCTATTTTTGGATCTCCATTCTCAGAAAACATATCAAGGTTTCCATTTTCTGTCATGTGCTCTTAAAATCAAATTCAACAACACAACACTCAGCAGTATTTTACAAGTTGTATTTTTTGTTTTCTTTATTGGGTTGTGTTTTTTTCAGTCTGAGCACCTTCCTTTTTACCTGGTTGTGTGTGCATTGGTGCTTGTTTGTGCTGCGTGTATGTGTGTCTTCACACATGGCTGCTGGGGAAGTTATTCGGCTCCAGACAGAGGTGAGCCAATTTGCTCAGATGGGAATATAATGATATAATCAGTGGAAAAGTCATTTTGTGCTAAACAATGTGAAGAAGGTGAGAAGCAACAAACTGCAAGTTCCCGGCACCATCAGAACATCGACTACAGTCTCATTGGATACCAACGGAGAAGACATTGAAATCATTTACCGTGTATGTGCAAGGTTGTGTACTTGTGTGTCTCTATATTGTATAGCCTAAGCAGACAATTTGTGCTACAGCACTTTGCCATGTAACAGAGAGTGAATTCCAGTGCGTGTAACAGTATAGCTAAGAGGCGTTTTCACGGCTCAGTGGCCAGTGCGGTTGCTAGTCTCTGGTTTCTACCCAGTCTCTGCGGTTTACCGACAGGAAGAGTCGACAGTTATTGTAACCTCCGGCTGGAAAAAAAAGCTGTGACCTGACACACATGGCACTGGTGAAGGTCACATGCTGTGCAAAACAAATTCAGCTTTCCACACGTGAACATGTATGAACAGTCATGGTTTTTTAAAAAGTGTTTAAAGCCACTGACAATATCTTGAAACCAGCATCAAGAGAACGTAAACCTTCACCACCGCTGAACTTGGCACGCTACTTGGACATTATAGTATTGCTACTCAGCCAGGACCAGATACCAGCAGCGACTCCAGTCTTTATGCTAGGCTAAGATAACTGACTGCTAAATCTATTTTCTGTAAATACATGAGTCGTAGCAGTCTTTTCATCTAAAGTAGCATATTATCCAAAATCTCAAGCTATTTCATTAATACCCATTTCTTTGTCAAGATTTAATGCTACTACAGGGCAATAAAAGAAAAATAAGCACGACCAACCGCAGAAGGTGGTCCAACAGAATAATCTGCACTGAGCACACAGACTCTTGTCTTAATGATTCCTAAAAGCTTAACAGACATATGCTCTCCTTTAGGCATGAAGAGCAGATTCTAGCTGTAGAAACCCTCAGATCCTCCTGATAAGCCCGCAGCTCAGGTGAAACAGGAAGTCATGGATAAGAAGAAAGATCAGTGGCTTTAAAAAAAACCAGCTCCTGGTAGACAGAACAGACACCCAAGATGTTAGAAGACAGCAGAGAATCAAAATATTAAACCACAGTTTGGACTACTAGGAAAGAGCACAACTCAATATTCTGCACATTCTTGTCCCTGGCAACAAAAGATAATATGTTTATTGTAACACAACTGATTTAATCAACTTTTCCTAAAATATTCCTCAAATCACTGACAGGAACAATTACCCCTGAAAACATATACTGTTTCTGTACTGAATCCAAACCATGACCATTATCACAGCATGAAAAAATAGAAATATAATCTACATCATGTGGTTAACAATATCAGGTACAACTGAATACTGAATATGGCTCTGAACACACTGCAAGTAAATGAAATGAGTAAATAAACCAGTAAACACAACAAATCATCATTCTGCTAGAGGTGGAATGAAGCGCCTCGAATACCAACGACATACTGCTAATAACCGACTCCATACTGCTCATGTTATACAGACTGGAGCTACTGCTACAGGCTATACTTGGCTCCCTATAGCCACCAGATTTCAGTGTTTGCTGGCAGGCTGAGAGTTCAAAGACTGTGTGACACAGACAGACACACACACACACACACACACACACATAAACCCTTCAAAGGGCCTCATTTAATCTCAAGCTGTTTATGAGTGGAGCATATTGACTTAATGGTGTAATAAAAGATCAATGGGCCCTCACTTAAAAACAAAACAATCTCAGCTCCCACAGGAGGATGGAAACACATAAATCCATCCCCGATGAGATGGCACCGCGCATACGTAGAGATAGGATGATGAAATGGGACAGCGTGCATGGTGAGATATGATGATGGATCTTTATCATTACGACAGGTCATTGGCATCAAGGCGAGGCGGCAGAAGTGCAGAGGTAGGGAGCAATGGGAAGAAGGAGGAAAAGGGGATGGACTAAAATATCCTGTTTATAAAACTGTGTGTATGTATGTGCATGCATGAGTATGTGCATGTGCCAACCACATTTCCAGAGCTGCTGAACAATGGCACAGAGCTTCAGAAAGTGTCCCCGCTGCAGCTTGGACCAGACTAACTAAGGCTCTTACCAAAAACCCAAATCACAGGCTATCTGATGCCTTCATGGAAAATGGGAAACCGAGAGAAAATATTTCCACATCTACTAAGCTCTTCACCATGGAAAAAAAAATCATTGTGTATTGAAATGGTCCATAACATTAATCTAATGGAAACAATGTTTTTTAACCTTTGAAAACTAAATTGAAGTAAATTCACCGCTATCATTTTTTTCTGGTTCTCTTTTTTTGTCTTTTCCTTCTCCCTTGCTCCATCTCATCTCTCTCTCTCTCTCTCTCTCTCTCTCTCTCTCTCTCTTAAAATGACTTGCTTTTCAATCTGCTCCCAGATTGATTTTCAAATGACTGGAATCTGCTCAATTAGCCTAATGCACTTCATTAGCATACGGACGCCAAATCACAGCCCGGCTGACTGGACCTGCTCAGGCTGGATTGGATGGGCCGGCTGGATGGTTCACCTGTTCTGGCTAATCACACTATTTTCTTCTGACTGGACGATTGGCTGGATGCAGTGCAAAGGACGTCCCCCTTCCTCAGTTGCCATAGGAGACATAAACCTTCCACAGTTGCCCTAGAGACAGCCAGGTCCCAGTATGAATGATGTGATGGTGGTGGCACATGTGGTGGTGGTCTGATTGGATTGGTGGCTGTAAATACGAAATGTTATGTGGGATGATAACTAGCAAAATAACAAAAGTCTAAGCACTACAGTCAAGTTTTCACTTAAATGAAGCAAAAACTAATATGTAATTTATATCTCGTTTGTTCTCACTTTGCCAGAAATAATGTGGGAGAAACCCTATAAAAAATTTCCCAAATCTCATTAAAGGTATCATCAGAAAATAACAAGTGCCTATGAAATATATGAATGTGCTGAATATATGTGAGGTACAGTGAGTTATAGATGAGAAATAAAACAATTATTTTGTGTGGTTTTTCAGTTAATTGAAAATATAGCATAAAAATTAAAATATGACTGAAATAAATAAAATAAAAATAAATATATCTTAAAGTTCCATGAGTGAACACAATTATTGCAACTTGAACGTGCACACCATACACACTCGTATATATTTCACACAACTGTCCAAGGGAAACCGGGTATTTCCAAATTTGGTGATTTTGAATATTCCAGAGAAATTAAAGGATTAGGTTTAGCTTTATTGGTTCAGAAAATTTGCTCAAAATGAATTATGCATTATGTAGGTCATGAAATGTTGACACTTTGGAGATACATGGTATTCACAAAATAGTGATTTTTTTTTTTATAATTACAAGTACTGATGTTGTTACAAATGTATGTGCTACTGAATCAGAGTGAATCATTTTCCACATAACCACAAAGTTACTTATTGCATACTTTATATTTTGTTGTGCACAAGCATAAGTGACAATGGCGGTGAATTTTATTAAACTGAATGATTACAAAGTCAATGTTAATACATTAAACTATGTGTGTCCAAAAAAAATAATTGCCAAAAAAAAAAAAAAATGCCAAAAATGAATTAAAGAATCTATGTTTGCACCTGTTCAAATGAACCTTTATGGTCCAAAGGTAAAAGCAACTTTACATTCTTCAAACCTCCCTAAAAGAGCCTCCTCTTTCTTCAGCCTACTTGCAGCCATACCCGCTACTTTTCAAGTTCTCTTATTTCTGCCCTAACCACCAAGAGAAGGCTTTAAACTTTCCCTCCACATGTTGTAGTTGCCAGCGCGGTGGGTGGAGCTGGGTTAGAGCTCGGTGTCTCCGCTGCTGTGGAGACGTGGCTTAGCTTGGCTCCCAGAAGAAAGGTTTTGGTAACGGCCGCACAACCACCACCACATGATGCGGACACCCACCCATAAAAACAGCAGCCCAATACAACCGACGCAGAACCAGACTGGTCTGTTTCACTGTCTGATGAATGGCCTTTGGGGATTTATACTGTAGCTCATGACTCATGGGAAAGTGCACGCAAATCAGAAATGAAAAGCGTTTGCTGTTTGTATGAGAAATGTGTATTATTTTATGGAGACACATCATCAATTATCAATCATAATCAGGTTTGCAAGACTAAACTACATTAAAAGACTATCATCTATTTGCTAATTTTATGATCTTTGCCTGAATGGCACTCTAATGAGAGAAACTAAAAGATGGTGCGTCTCTCCTTTATATTGCTCTTTTTTGGCATTGCAGGAAGTTAACATCTAGAGATTATAAGTCCAGTGATTAGAGGTTAGCATGTAGGCTGGTGTCTGCAGCTGTGGTCATTAGAACTACACTGATTAGACACCCACAGGGGGTCTGCATGATTGGGTATTTATCTCCAGCCAACAGACGCAATTAAAATTCCCTTCTCAAAGTCGGCCCGGGCCGGAACCCCAAAATAGTCCTGACACCCCCGCCCCCTCCTCCCCTTCTCTTTCTCTGTCTTTCCGTTTCAAGACTGCTTCCAAATCTTTGTGGCTCTGAGCACAAGGTCTCCACTTTATCTCAATTTGCACCTTCTTTTCTCACTACTACAGACCATAACTCCATGCAACCTTCCCTTTCTTTC